TTTTTTACACATTTTTCGGAAATAGTTGCCTTTTCTTTTAAATGCTAAAGACTCTGTTGACTGGTCGTGTAAATCCGGAGGACTGAGATACGTGTTATAAGCAAGTGGTGGCTGGCGGTGAAGAAAGCTAGATTTTATCAGAAACACAGTTTTGTAAATGATCAATACAGAATTTTACAACTTGTCGGTATTTTACTACGACTACAATTCTGGTGACGGTAATTCATTATATCCTCTCTCGGCGATTCATACCTGCGAATTTTTTGCCACCTGAAACTACCGTAATCTGGTAAAACTTCCAGCCCACTTTTAAAATACTGAATTTTTTATGGGTTGCACGATTTCTAATGTTTTACATAATTATTCCATAAACAGCCTATGAAGCATGTGTCCAGTTTAGTCTCCTAAAAAAATGGCCGACCAGATGAGTAGGCAACACGACCGCAGAATCTACTGTTCGGCCTGATGAATAGCGCGATTTCACTTGATTTGTCATAAAATTATCGTCTACCGTCATATCGCCATTTGTATGATCGTTCAAATGAATATAAAGTTATGACGCCTTAAGTGGGTGTTCAAAATTTCGTGCAGCCATTGCGCCACTGTCGGTTCAGGTGTGGTACTTTTCCGTTTTTGTTTGTTCAGTTTTTCGTGGGTGCTGAATTTGCGAAAGTTAACAAGAAACTTTATATTTGTTAGTTTTGCAGAAACAGCTTAACTTAATTGCTGGTGTGCTTAGATGCAACCAACCGAAAAATAGGTTGCAAGTTTTTGACTTGCAGACAGTACGGCCAGCGTAACGCTGCTTTGTAGTTATATATGGGTTTGTTTTTTGGAGTTTTTTTGCATCAGCAGAACATCTTTAATTTGTGATATCGTTGCATCCACCATTTTTTAACGCTTTTGCTATAAGACCGACTACTGCGTCGCAGATATAAATATTCATCTTCAAAAAGCGGATTTGCCTTTACTTTGTTCATCCATGTGATGTGTTGGCCTCATGATTGACGTCCGCCGCGTTTCGGCTCCCACATGAGAAACTCGTGGGCTTCAATAAATGGTTTTGTGAAAAGCAGCTTCTCTATCGCCTAAACCATTCTGAAAAACAAAGCGTTAAATATCATTATTTGACATCATTACTCAGTTTTTGACCTTGATACCTCAGATGACTATGACAGCGACTAAAGGACCAACATCCTTTTCTTTATTTCTACATCCTAGGAAGTCATCTGAACCCGTAAAATACTGCATTCATTCCTTGCGTGATGTTGTCATTCAGTCCACATTATATATCTAAACCAACGCTGTTTTGGTCATATCCGAACGGCCGATATGTACGGCCATGGCGTCTGATGCGTACACCTTAAGGCTGCCATTCGCCTTCATCCTCCAGATAGGTAATTTTTCGGTGTAATAATCAGTATGAGGTATGAACCATTTTGCTGTTGTTTCTGAATTATTGGAAGCGGTTTTCATTTGGTCGTATAGTCTGCAGTGAGAAAATGGTTTTGACGTATTCTTTAAATTTAAAGATGCCACTCGTCGGTGCTTCTTCGATTACGTGCTCAGATTATGACAAGTGAGACTGCTAAAAAAAGGCACCATGCGACTGAGACGCTGCTAAGCTTATGGAGTTTCACTTGGCCGTATGGTTTTAGACAAGGCGGTTGTAGACCAGGAGGATCAATGATCAAATTCGGGGTGACATTCTCTCTTATCCTGCTGTGCAAAACCACAAGTATGTACATTCATTCTTCTTCATATTGCTCATCTCCGTTCTTCACCATCCGATAAACAGTAGAAAGATCGACAGTGTCAAGTTTTCTCCTTCCACGTGATTTTGCCAGAAGAGTCAGTTTTCCGAGTTTGTTTTCGGTATCTTGACCCTCTGCGTATATCATAATTATGATATTTAAATTTGATAAAAAGGCTGCTTCCAACCTTGTAAGGCCTCATCGTACTGACGGCCCTTCGAAGGAAGCTGATTTTTGCTGCTCTTATCCTCGCTCGCACTCTTTTCATCATGGCTCATCAATGATGATCATAAAGAAGGTTAGGTAAGTGGACGTTCAAAAACACATAGCTGCTCCCGGCCTCATATTTAGCATTATACTGCGTTTCTGCATTTTCCCACATTCCTATAAACTTATGGCAGAAGGTGGGGGGGGGGAACATTTATTAAATTTATTGTACCATTACACCTAGCGTAATTAAAATTCTTATCTCATGCAGCTTTTCACAAATTGTGAACCTTTCTACCTAGACTTGCAATAAGCCATCAGTTGACGAGGTACCGCATTATTCTGTTTTTCATGGATGACTTGTTGTGCATTAAATTCGTATATTTGGTGAATCCGCTTTTCTGTTATTGCTCATCAGATCCTGCTTATTTCCTTCCTCATGATAAAATCATCTGTCTTTGTAGGCGACTCTAAAATTTCAAATCTCTCTGCTCTCGAGCTGAAATAAATTTACGTCGATTAATAATAATCCTAGAATAATACGCATAGATAATAAGTTTGTTGGCCCATCATAATGAAAGGGAAATGGGAAGTTTATAACCATCGGAATGGGATGCTGGTCGTTTTTATATTTCTTGATGACGCAGTTTCTGTCCTCCTACTTTTTATGGACTTAATTGTGGGAGCGCTGATGTCCACTTCTATGCCTTTAGCGAGGAGCACTTTATTTAAAAGGCAGAGTCGACTGCAGCTGTGTGAAGGCATAGTGTTTAGTCTCCTGTTTCTTTCCCACAGAGTGATACTCGTTTATGAACATTAAAACCTCGATTCCTTGTTCTGACTCTGACGATCTACCGACCGAATAACCCGGCCCAGCCCATCATGGGTCCGTAATGTTCCCATGCAGTGCAGTCTTTGAATGGTAAAACTCTATGACCTGTGTACAAATCTGCGAAAAAATATTTTCTGTAAAATAATTTTGTTTTTTATTCCAAAGTTTGTTGCGTTTGAGTTCTGTATTAATAGTTTTATAGAATCAGATAAAGCGACATAAGCAGAACTGCGTGTCTCTTTGCCAGCTTTTCTGTACACAACTCATCGTTGGCTCTTTGCCATGTTCTCTCGGTCGATGCGTGCGGAAACGCGGAATCGAGCGAAAGATGAAATCAAACGTGTTCTAAGTTCGGTTGAGCGGGTTCGAAAATGGTAAGCAGTTGGCTTTGTATGTTGAACTGTTTATTCACTGACAGTAGATATTAATTTTTCTGAGTATTTCAAGAAAGTATTCAGTATACTGTAAATAGAGTCAAAACAGTTTGCGAAATACTATTTTAAAAAGGCACCGCTTTTATTAGGTTGATGAACATAGTGTAAAGGGAAGAAACTTTGTAACCGCTGGAATGTCGGGTTTTACGCTTCGATGAAGAACAACTTTTGTGGTATCCTTTAGTCATGAAACATTATATGGCATTGTTCTCCGTTTTCTGCTATCTGTCAAATATTTTACACAGTCATGTCGTCACCTAAGGACCATTCACATTATCATGATCATCTGCATTTGTTGATCAACCTCTGCATGAAGGCCTTTCCACGACATCGCCCTGTAGGTCCGTTTCCTGCCATTTCATCCGTCGTGATCCAGCGAACTTCTGCTCATTCTACCATTAGTTTGGATTTCTTTCTACTAGTCGTTTACTCTCTCCCTCTCTTCTAACCTGGTTTAATATCTCTCTTCTCCAGCGATGGTTTGCTCTTCTTGCAACTTGTCCTTCCTACTGCCAATTTAACTTTTTCCTTTGGACACTAACGTTACAAACTCTTATTTGCTTTCTTATCCATTCACTCGTTTTACTCGGTTATTCCCAATATACATTTTTCCTTGTTGCTTTGCGTAGTCTGCGGTTTATGAACAACTTTCAAGTTTGGTGTCTACTTTTCGCATCCATAGGTTAGCACGCGGAGCTCCGGTTACAAACCGATCGAAATTTTTTTCTTTAGGCGTATGGAGAGTTTCCTGGATAAGAGCATTTTCAGTCTTCCAGATATGTTCTATGCCATTTTTATTATTGTGTTGATTTCACATAGTAGTTTCAATGTTGCAGAGACGAGCTGCCCCACATGGACATAGTTTTGCACTTCTTCCGGCTTAAGTTCGTTGACTTCAACGGATCGTACGGTTACTTATTCGTTTAAAATAGCCTGCTTCTCCTTCAGGTTGATTTCAGTTCAACTTCCATTCTGACGTCTTTCATCTTTTGGTCTGTTCATTTGAATTTCGATGGTGACGTTAAGAGAAGCAGAATATGGTCTACAGACCACAGGAGGCCCATTTATATTCAGCTCTGATTTTCTTTACGTTCTCTAAGAGTGCCTTGAAAACCTTTTCTAGGGAATATCTCGTGCGATATCGCCTTTATCGGTTTTGAATTCGATTTTGCCTTCTTGAAACTTCGCTCTACCAGTTGCATTCTTGTAAATCATGGCGATGTGTTTTATACATCTTTTCGCTATTGTTTGGCTGCTCATAGAGTCCAATACAGAACGGATATAGACTGGGTCGAAAGCTTTTTCGAAATCGACGGACTCCAGAAAGAAACAAAGTTGATAGTCATTGTTGGTTTGAACTACTTATTTTACCACTTGAGAAGGTGATCCATCGTACTAAATCCATTTCTGAATCCTGCTTGCTCCTTTGACTGCCAGCGTTCAGATTTTCTTGAATTCTGTTCGTCAGAACTTTCGTGAAGATCTGGTGGATGATTGGTGCCAGAGTAAGGGGCCTGTCGATATTCATATCCTCTC